CAAATTCAATGTAAGAGTACTAGACTAATAATATTATAATAATCCAAACCTATTTTTATATTATATGTCCAACTGGCAAAACATATCAAAATAGAGAAACAATTACTAAAAGCCTAGAAAAAATAATCCTTGAAATTGGTTTAACAAAAATTTTATCTGTAGTAACTAATAATGTTTTTGTAATAAAAAAGGCCTGGATTAGAAGTAATGGAAGAAGAAGTAGATAAACTATTAGGTAAAGAAAATGTGTTACCAAAAAAGTTAATGAACGCGTTATCATTAAGGTTACTGAGTGCGTTATCATTAAGCATAATATCATTAGCATTAATATTTGAAAAGAACTCGTTATAGTTATAGTCAGGATAGAAAGCTAAATTGAGTTAATGAGTATTCTTGTCCGATATTTGGAGCTTCACCAGAGTTATCTAGCATAATATCATTGTTATTAATATGTGAAAAGCAACCATTTTGGATTGGTTGAAATTCTTCGTTATAGTTATAGCCAGGATAGAAAGGAATGGGTACGCTAAATTGAGTCAATGTGCATTCCTGTTCGATATTTGGAGCTTCACCAGAGTTATCAAGCATAATTTCATTGTTATTAATATGTGAAAAGCAACCATTTTGGATTGGTTGAAATTCTTCGTTATAGTTATAGTCAAGGTAGAAAGGAATCGGTACACTAAATTGAATTGATGAATGTTCCTGTTCGATATTTGGAGCTTTACCAGAGTTACCAAGCATAATATCATTGGTATTAATATGTGAAAAGCAACCACTTTGGATTGGATAAAATTCTTCGTTATAATTATAGTCAAGGTAGAAAGGAATGGATACGCTAAATTGAGTTGATGAATGTTCCTGTTCAATATTTGGGGCTTTATCGGAGTTATCTTCAAAAACGTTAGTTGATCTATTAGCAGCTTTCGGTCCCCGTTTTTTAACCGGCTTAACGTAAATACATTCAAGGTTGTGTGATGCGCAATTTGTACAAATAGCTTCTTCGGAACACTTTGCGTGTTTTGTTCTGCAATTAGTGCATGCATTAGTCGCGTAACGGCCGATTTGAATAAGACATGGTTGTCCAAAATATTTATGAACAAATATTATATAATAATAATATAGAAATAAATTTTATAGATGCGAATAAATAGACATTAACAACAACTGAAAATGGTCCCTATCTCAAAGGTACGATTAAAATAACACATGTAAAATATCTAGTATTTTACTTGGAAAATATTATAAAAAGGGGAGTGATAGCTATTTATGTTTTATAAATAAGATGTTCTTTTTTTTTGACTTGTTGGAGCTTGAGACGTTTTATTTATAGAAAAATATCTCTCACCGATTTACAATTAATTTTCTGAATGTATAGTAATAACACAGTTCTGGGTAAATTAACTTATTGTCCAAGTTTGTGTAATGCTTTGTCCATATTAAATCCAAATTAGGGGATCGTAAAAAACCGTGTGCGTTTGGTATAAATTTGGAAATGATCTACATGCAACATAAATTACCGTAAAAGTCTGACTTGTGTACCCCCCATGCCGTGTACCCCCATAAGTTTTAACAGGTAGACGGTGATTTATACCCGGGTACAAGGTATATATAACATATACTTTTGAATATTAACAGTACAATACGATGATTTATACCCGAATACAAGATATATAAAATACATACCTTTAATAATACAATAAACATTCACATATAATACCAGAGCAGCTCTCAAAATTATCAACGTTACTGTATTAGCTAATACTATATATAAAGTAATATGGATTATAACGCAAATTCTTTAAATAACAATAAAAAGACCACTTTATTCATGTTAATAATAACTTAATGCAGCATCAGTGCTATCGATCATCAATTTGAACTTCAGAGCCATCTTGGCATCATCTGTATTAATGTTCTCAGCAATATTTAAAAAGTTAAAAAAATTTTGTCTATTTTATATTATTTAATTCGCTTTATATTTTTTATTTGTTTTCATAATATCTAACAAATTTATTCTAAAAATGATACAACAAATAAAATTTAACTATTATTCCCAAATATTATCACTTTTGGTTCTCTCAGTTGTTTCATATTCATCACCATCGATATCATTAACAATCAAAGTCTCTTCAGTATTTTCATCATTTACATTCATCAAATTTTCATAATCAAATATCAAATCATCCTCTGACCCATCCATTTTTACTGATATACCACAGCATTTAAATGCTTTTCTAATTAAGTAAAGATCAACTTTATTCTACGATTCAAGTACCCATTGAGCTAGAGTAGAATATGAGGGTTTTTTAATACGTCCAGAAGGTGTAAATTCATGAGTCATACTGATCATCTATTGGTTATAATGGAAGCGTACCTAATAATTTAAACCACAGTTATTATATCTGATTAATAAAAAATATTTCAACATATATTACTATACTTTTTCTTTAAAGTTTTTGTTTACTGCAACATCAAGAGGTTGCAATTTACTGGTCAGCCCACCCAGAATTACTGCAAGATCAGTATTTTTTTTCTTAAATTGATGTTTAACGGAGTCTATCAGATGAGCCTTAAAAGAATCCAAAATAAGAAGAGATCGCAGGTTTTCTAATTTACCAAGTTCATCATGCTTAACCCAAACATTATTGATCCAATTAATCATCTCATGCTCATTGCACCATCCTTTTTTATTTACCCTGATAATAATGCCTTCAGGAAATATTTCACAAGAAATATTTTTCAATTTAAAAATACAAACAGCAGGAAGTTTACTTCTATCTGCTAAGCACCCAAGGATTACAGTAAAATTTGTTCTTTCATGTTCAGTTGTTCATATGCTTACAGTTTTGGCTCTACGCTTTTCAAGTATAACTGGGTATGGCAGGTCAAAGGAGAATGAAGTTTCATTCATATTTCCAATATATTCAATAGGGTAGTTATATTGATTACGTTTGAATAAGACATAGCTTAAAAATTCATTTTGTAGATCAATAAGATTATCAGAGAGACGTTGCACAATAGTTGTACGTCAGCGGTTTGATAGATTATTACGGTATAAAAATCCACTTAACCAACTATTGAAAAGCTAAAATTAATAATATTAGGATGGATATTTTTTACTTCAATAGTATTAGCTAATGATCTGGCCTTTCTGATAACTATGTTTTGTGATACAGCCATATGCCTTTTGCGAAGTTCTTCAACCCATTCAATATGCTTTTCTTCTAAGAATAGATACTGGGCTTGTCAACCGCAGTTTAGTGTTAAAACATAGAGGACAGCATTTAAAAGCTCTTGTTTCTTCTTTAGCCAGTTGGACATATAATATAAAAATAGGTTTGGATTATTATAATATTATTAGTCTAGTACTCTTACATTGAATTTG